TATTGTTGACAAGCTCTTATGGCTCAGTTGGTTAGAGCAACCGTTTAGTAAGCAGGGAGGCCTTGAGTTAAACTCTCAACGGGAATAGAGTTTTGACTCTTTTCTCCTTTTGTTTTGGGCTGAAAATTTGATTACTTTGAACGCAAATGAGTCAAAATGCGGAGTCAGCAGAATGGAGCGAGAGCCAATTCGCCGACAACAAGCCATTTTACAGTTAACCCAGCTTCTTAAAGCGGACAGACAACGTGGGACCTACTTCAATGAATCATCCAAATCATCACATGTCCGCCACGCGACAACCTTCATGCACGGGAGGGGCGCTAATCATCTCCGCCATCCATTCCGTCGAATCGGGTGGGGTGCCGATTCGATAATGTCATGACACTTTGCACCCCATCACCTTATCTTCAATATCAGCCGTATCATATTTTTTCTCTCCAAATATTCCCAAATTAATCCAGCTTCCACCGTCTAAGCTAAACTGACAAGTTTTCGAGTCTATTGAATATTTCAGTGGTAAAAAATATTTTTTTTAAATATTTAAATTTAAATAATTATATTAATAATATATTTAAATTCAAATTATCAAGTATTCGAGCTCTCCTCCTATATAGGGACAGCAATCCGGCAGAGTGGGAAATCTTTATATTCACTTAATATTTTTGTATATGTTACTTATTCATTACATCATGAGTAAAATTTTTAAATCTACATCTACCCACGAGTAAATACGTATTTAAACTTAGGCTTACTTAGGTCATATGCCCAAAAGGGTAAATTACTTATTAAGTCATATATTATTATTTAGTTTTTATTTTGGTCACGCAATAATTATTTATTTTAAATCACATTTAATATTACATTTTAGTTATATTATGGTCTTTAATCTTTAAAAAATTATGATGATGTTTATATATCATCATAAGATAATATCATGTCATGTTTGAAAAATAATTAAAAAAAGTCATGTTAACATTATTGTTATCTTTTTAACGGTAGGTGATAAAAAATATATACACGAATTTTTAGATAAATTTTTTATATTAGCCTAGTCTACAAATAACAATCTTCAATTCTAAAAATATTTATAGCCTAACATTTGATTAAATTACAAGTCATGTCTTATAAAACCTTAAGATTTATATAATAATCTCTGAAATTATACTTAAATTCATAGTGATCCAAAATTTACATGGTGTGTAGTTAGTGGGAAGACAGATACGGAACGAACGGATATGGAGAGGGTAAATACGGGACGTATAAGGTATCAAACCGATTACCTACCCATTATCCACGATAGATATAACTTTTTATATCCACACCAACTAACTATCTATTAAACTTATATCTATCCATACTTCAAGTAAAACAAATATAATACAAAATCCACAAAATTAAATGCCGTTTCGTGCGCCAACTGGTTAGGTGGCCATGAATTGCTTCCAAGCCCTCTCCGATATTTTGATTTCCCTTTCTTAAGTATGCCTCTTAACAATTTGACGTTATTATAGGGTCTTGACCTAATTCTAGTAGGTCCAAAATTAGGTGTTTGATTAATCTAACATAATTTGGTTCTTCCACTACCGACAAAAACATGAGTGGGGCCACGTAAACTTACACTATTTACTTCTATTAACCAGTTTGCAAAAATACAAGGATTGAATTACGAAAATGTAAGCGGATAAACTAATCTGTCATATTATATTTTTTATTTTTTAATTATCAAATATTATTTAAAAATATTTTTTTAAAATTAAACGTGACACATGTCACTTAACGATTTTTTTACAGTATACACCTAAAAGTGTAACAGAGAAAATATTAAGCATGTATTTTTAATAAAAAAAACTTCAGATATTTTTAACAAAAAAAAATATGCACCAAAAGTTAATTTTAAGTATAATTTAAGTATTTAATTTTATCTTAAGCCTTTAATTAATGTCACGTGTCAAATTTTTAAAAAATTACATGAAAAAATTTAAATAGTTTAAGTAACATTTTTGACATAAATATTTTAAATACTTATTTTGACAAGAAAAATAACTTTAAGACCGAATGGTAACCTCACGTCTATTGGTTCTTAAAAATAATATTTTCTTCTTCTTATTTTGTCCATTTGTAAAAGAATTATGTAAACTTTATTTTATTTAAAAAAAAACTCATCATATTTTATAAAATCAAAACTCATTTTAAATTCAGTGTTTTCTTTTATCTTCCACCAAGAAACTATGTTTCTTTTATAGCACGAATCAGTTGAATTCGGTAGTAAATGGGTTTTTGATATTTTTTGAGATCTTAAGTCAAAGTAGTATCAGAAATTTTCAGAATTCTGAGCGAAAATTAAAAAATATGTCTTTATAAAATGAAAATATATTTTATTACTTTAAATAATTAAATTTACTATTACATAAATAAATCATAGAAAATGATTATTTTTGTGAAAATATATTATTTTTATTATTTTATTAAGAAAACATCTTAAATACAATTAAGAGATAATAAATATAAAAAATTGAATATGTATATGATACATAGCTTGATTTTGAATAATAAATAAATAAATAAAATGGATATTATTTTATTGCTAGATTGAGATTGAAGAAGACTAAAAATCAAAGAATATTTGATAAATTGAAGAGTAAGATTCGAAAAAAAGAGAAAAACATGATTGAATTTAATTTAGAATTGAATAAATCAATACAAAAAATGAAAAAAAAATTGTCAAAAACTAAAAGTGTTATGAAGTTATAAAAATTAAGGGCCCTAGTTATAAATATAAAAATTTGAGAACCCTAATTATAAATAAAAAAATTAGGGGCCTTGAGAGGTTTCTTACAGTGCTTCTCTTAGAGCCGGCTCTGTCTCATGTTCGAAAATCATAAATGTTAAGGGTACGAGCAAGTCCGTCTCGAAAAGCATGCGACTTTGTGCTACTTTATTGAAACACGACTCTTAAAATATTTTATAATAAGATAAAATTATAAAATAAAAAAAATTAAGAAGATTGAAATTATGATAAACATAAATAAGATCATTTTATCCGTTAAACAACATAAATTTGGTGATATTTTCAAGAAGAATCGATTAAAATTGAATTCTTGAGATAACAAGGAAAAAACTAGAAGGGTTTTTTTTTGTTGTTAAATCTCGTCAAGGGAAAATATTTTTTCTAGGTTAACAAAATTTTTTGCTACACTTATTATTAGACGAGTTTAGGTACGAGAATTTAATATTAAATAATTAAAAATAATATTTAAATCGATATTACCTCATACTTAAATTAATAAAAAAAAGTCCTCATAATTTATAATATATACTAATTGAACTAAAATAAAATCAATCAATGCATATAAAATCAATCAATCAATCAATCCTCATACCTACATTATTAATTCTTTGATATGTATTGTTACAGATTTTGTTGATGGTTTCTGTTTAACTACCAGTTTATCACATAACAGTGACGTGTAAAATTCGTGTGAGCCTATTTTTGTCGTTTGCTTGGAGTCGAGAATAAAGCCTGGATTAAAAGTATTGAGCTTTAAGCATTTTTATAAATTACACTTTTCAACATATTTATGGATTAAAAGTATGTGGAGCGAGCCCATTAATGCAACGGTCATAGTGTGCTTTAAAAAGTAAAAAGAATATTTTGTAACAATATAGGGTAAACTTGTATTTAGTAGTTAAAGTATTAGTTTTGATTTCTATTAATATATAACATTTTATTATTTTAAATTATATTTAAAATTTAGTTTTTGTTTCATTTTACTATATTGTTCGAAATTTAACGTTAAATTTTGAAAAACAAAATGAAAGTGTAAGTATTAAATCAGATCAAAACTGATAGTTTAGATATTAAAATAAAACAAGAACTAAATATTACGCATGATTTTGAAAAAATTGAAAGTTTAGGTATTAAATGCATAATTTATCCTAAATGATCTTATAATCTCTCAACTACACGATTCCTACCGCCATTGTTTGTAGTTATTAGAAAAGCTTAATTCAATAATAGTCCCTCAAACTTTACCTTTTCTATCAAACCAGATTCTTAAACTATAATTTCATAACTACTTCAAGCATTTGTCATTGATTCTGATAATTTTACTAAGTCTAACAAATATCATTTTAGTTGACATCGAATCCTTTTTTTTTATTAAATAGAGAGATAACTACATTTATAAGATAAATATCGATATCTGAATCCATATAAATTGAAATAACATGAGCATCACTAATCACTCGATCAACTAATAGATCTTATAACAGATCCCAAAATTGGTCCCAAACAACTCTCCTTTCCCTTGTAAAAGAATTCGATTAATTATTCTAATCAAGTTATTGCCATATATATATATATATCTTAAAAGCACTAACTTAGATACCTTTATCATGTTTATAAGAAAAATAATATCAGCACTTTAGACAAAACATGTTACGGTATTAATTATTTTAGTTAATCAATTCTATTACAAAATTGGATCAAATCATTTAAAATTAAACTAACAACACAAGATCACAACTATAAGCATAATAAAGGGACCAAAACCAAATTCAGCTTTTTTTAAACAATCAAATAAAGCCGTTTGTGGTTGATTAATTGGACTAGTGTTTTAAATTAGGATAAATTATGCATTTACTCACCTATCATTTTGATTATATTTTGGTCACTAAACCATTATTTTTAAAAAATCATACCTAAAATTACATTTTATTCACTTGATGTTAAAAAGTTAACAACTATACTAAAATATCATCATAAGATAATTTCATATAATCATTGAAAAGTAAAAAAAAGTATCACATTAGTAGTTCTATTTTTCTTGATAATAATTGATCAAAACATAACCAAAAACGTCATGTTAAACATAATTTCGAAAAGAAAAATAGTTAGTGACCAAAATGGAACCAAAGTGATATTAGGGTAGCTAAATACATAGTTTATCCTTTAAATTAATGGGAAAAGTAGATAATAATAATACTCTCTTCTCCAAGAACTCACTCACTTCCAATGGCGACATTACTCTCAAGTTTTGTTCCTTTGCTGGTTCTTGTTTCGATTTCCTCTAATTTCCCAATTTCGTTTTCCACCGAAGAAACTGTGAAGACGTACATCTTTCGTGTAGATTCTCAATCGAAGCCGTCCATTTTCCCCACTCACTATCACTGGTACACTTCCGAGTTCGCCGAGCCAACTCGTATCCTCCACACATACGACACCGTCTTCCATGGCTTCTCGGCGTCTTTAACAGAAGCACACGCCGCTTCCCTCAGTAACCACCCTTCTGTTCTCGCTGTTTTCGAAGATCGCCGCCGAGAGCTTCACACAACACGCTCTCCTCAGTTCCTCGGCCTCCGGAACCATTACGGGCTTTGGTCGGACTCCGATTATGGGTCCGATGTTATAATCGGAGTCTTTGACACTGGGGTCTGGCCCGAACGACGAAGTTTCTCGGACACGAATCTCGGACCGGTTCCTGCTCGCTGGAAGGGGGTTTGCCAAACCGGAGTCAGATTCGTGGCTAATAACTGTAACCGCAAACTAATCGGTGCGAGATTCTTCTCTAAAGGTCATGAAGCGGCCACTGGACCGGGTGGTCCTATCGCCGGAATCAACCAAACGGTCGAGTTTATGTCGCCGAGAGATGCTGACGGTCACGGAACCCACACGGCTTCTACGGCCGCCGGGAGACATGCATTTCGAGCCAGTATGGGAGGTTACGCCGCCGGAATAGCGAAAGGTGTGGCGCCTAAAGCGAGACTGGCGGTTTACAAAGTCTGTTGGAAGAATTCAGGTTGTTTCGATTCCGACATTTTAGCTGCTTTCGATAGCGCCGTTAATGACGGCGTCGACGTAATTTCGGTTTCGATCGGTGGGGGAGACGGAATATCCTCTCCGTATTATCTTGACCCGATAGCAATTGGAGCATACGGTGCGGTTTCTCGAGGAATATTTGTTTCATCCTCGGCTGGAAACGACGGACCTAACATAATGTCAGTTACCAACCTTGCTCCTTGGTTGGTCACCGTCGGAGCGGGAACAATCGACCGGAATTTCCCCGCTGATGTCGTCCTAGGTGATGGACGGAGGTTAAACGGCGTGTCGTTATACTCCGGCGTGCAGTTAAAAGGAAAGATGTATCCCGTGGTTTATCCTGGAAAATCCGGTGACCTCTCAGCTTCTTTATGCATGGAGAATTCTCTTGATCCTATCGTTGTTAAGGGAAAAATCGTAATCTGTGATCGAGGAAGTAACCCAAGGGTGGCTAAAGGCATGGCTGTGAAGGAAGCTGGTGGTGTCGGCATGATTCTTGCTAACGGTGCTTCAAATGGTGAAGGCTTGGTCGGCGATGCTCATCTTTTGCTCGCCTGTGCTCTCGGATCTGATGAAGGGGATGCGGTGAAGAAATACGTTTCGTCGTCGTCGAATCCAACAGCTACTATAGATGTTAAGGGTACTATCATCGGCATCAAGCCTGCTCCGGTTGTGGCTTCTTTTTCTGCTAGAGGACCCAATGGGTTAAACCCTGAAATTCTTAAGCCGGATCTGATTGCTCCTGGGGTTAACATTTTGGCTGCTTGGACTGATGCCGTTGGCCCAACCGGGTTAGACTCTGATCCAAGGAAGACGGAGTTTAACATCCTGTCCGGAACTTCCATGGCTTGCCCTCATGTTAGTGGTGCAGCGGCTTTGCTTAAATCCGCACACTCTGATTGGAGCCCGGCTGCAATTCGATCCGCAATGATGACTACTGCAAGTATAACCGATAATACAAATCGGCCTATGATCGATGAAGCAACTGGGAAGCCTACGTCTCCTTACGATTTCGGTGCTGGACATCTAAATCTTGGTCGTGCAATGGATCCCGGACTTATTTATGACATCACCAACAATGATTATGAAAGCTTCTTGTGTGCTATTGGTTATAATCCCAAGTTAGTTCAAGTTGTTACGCGGTCTCCGGTGGTTTGTCCAATGAAGAAGCCATTGCCTGAGAACCTTAACTACCCATCAATTGCAGCATTGTTTCCAACCACATCAAGGGGTCCATCGAGCAAAACGTTCACTAGGACTGTGACTAATGTGGGTCAGGCAAACTCCGTTTACGTCGCGAAGATAGACTCACCTAGAGGAGTTACTGTGATGGTGAAGCCGATGAAGTTGGTGTTCACACCAGCGGTGAAGAAGATAAGCTATTTCGTGACCATAACAGCAGATAGCAAGCATCTGGTGCTGGACGATGCGGGAGCTGTTTTTGGGTCACTGACATGGACAGATGGGAACAATAAGCATGTGGTGAGGAGCCCCATCGTAGTTACTCAACTCGATCCGTTGTAAACTAGTGAAGCTCTGGGCTCGGGGTTTCGCTCGATCAATGTAGGTTTTGATCGAAGTGGAAGAATGGGGTCACTGAGTTTTTAAGGTAGCATAAATGTAGAACTTACTACTACGCATAGTGAAAGCACTTTGTTCCCTTATTGTTGTTTTCAATGGCAAGGGTAGGAAGAGGAGGGTCCTTTAATTTAAAAAACTGGATTTGAGGGTGATTTGGTGTGAGCTAATTTCTCTTCATTATATATGTGTGACTTCAAGAAGTTTATGTAATACAGAATAGTTTTAAGAGAAAAGAAATCCCCGTCACTATTCTGTTATTTCAACATACTTTTCTTTTTGTCTTGGTCTTGATTTGAACAATAATTTGTTGAAAAGGTTGTTACTTTCGGTTTTACCTACTAATTGAAGGATGAAAAGCATAGGAATATATAATGGTTTGCCAAAATCTAGCTGTGTTGTGCTGTCAGTCATTGTTCTTTACTCCGCTGATTTAGGCGACGCATAAAATCTAACACTAGGGATGATAAACGGATATAGGTGGTTTTTGTTTGTAGTCTTTCCGACCACATCTGTAACAGAAAGAAAGAATAGACCAAAAATCTACAGTATGTAAGAAGAAAACTGTTTATTTTTTTAACGTTTACAGACTGTTAAAATAAGCTGAAATATAAATAAATTGATTTTTTAAACTATACTCAAATAACCACTTTTACTATTAATTTTTTAAAAATTATAAAATGTCATTAAATTTAATGAATTATTATAAAATAATCACTATAATGTTGTAATAAATTATAAAAGTTCGATAATATAATAATTATTTTATAGTATTTAGATAAATTTATTAATAATTTTATAATCTTTTAATAAATTTAATAAGTATTTTATAATTTTTTAAACGTTATTGACGAAAATGATCATTTGTATATAACTTAACGATATCTAATATACTTTATTTGAAAAAATATATTAAATAAATATTATACGAATTTTATTATTATAAATTATTTCATCTACGGACTATTAGATTTTGGTTTTAATATTATATATCATTTTAAAAAAATATTATTAAATCAATCGATAATGAAATCAATTTTATTTTAATTCAATCTGTTTGTTTTGGTTTAAGTAATTGTTAAAAAATTATATTTTAATTCTCAATTATTATCGATTCACAAATATATCAATACTCGGTTTTATAATATCATTTAAATCATCTTAATTTATTCGAGTGGTACAATCCGATTCTAGTAACATCAAAAAATATATATAATATATACTCCATATAATATACATCAACTAGAATTTTTCTATTTAGAAAAAATATATTATTATTTTTTATTTATTCTGTATAAAGAGACTTTCTTACTTTACCAGAATTAAATGATAAGAATCAGATTTTTCAATAGTGTGAATATTTTTTTATTAAAACATTTATTTTGTCTTTTAATGCTAATAATTGTATGTCCTGTGATTTTTTAAGTTTTTATATAAAAAAAAGTTTACTAAGTTTAATTGTATAATATTTTTTAGTAAGTTTAATATATTTTTTCAAATAAAGTATATTAGATATCGTTGAGTTATATACAAATGATCATTTTCGTCAATAAAATTTAAAAAATTATAAAATACTTATTAAATTTATTAAAAGATTATAAAAATTATTAATAAATTTATCTAAATACTATAAAATAATTATTATATTATCGAACTTTTATAATTTATTACAACATTATAGTGATTATTTTGTAATAATTCATTAAATTTAATGACATTTTATAATTTTTAAAAAATTAATAGCAAAAATGGTTCTTTGAAGGGGTTAGAAGAGCTTTGAAGACATAAGTCCACGCTTACGCCAAGAAGAGGACGTGCATACGTTAGAAGAGCTTCTGTCTTCTAAAAAACAAACGGTCTGCGAAGCCCAATGTCTGCGCATGGTTTGCGCGGCGCAGACATAAGAGCTTTGAAGACCTTAAACAGTGAAAACAAACACTACCATAGTTTCATAAATTTTATACCGTATCCATTATAATTGGGGCGGAGATAGATATAATTTTAATGGGTAATAGATAAGTGTGGATTTAGAAAGTGATATCAGTCGTGAGTAGTGCGCGAGTGATGGGTTTGAGACATAATTCGCCCCGCATCCTCCCGCCTCGCATTCGCCTGCCCACTAAATACCCATTAAATTTTGGACCATTATAAATTTAGGTATAATTTTAGGGTTTGTCATTTATGTGTGCTAAATAACAAAAATACTATGTGTTTGTCATTTATGTTTTTAGGATTTAATTATGTCTTTTATTATGGTGTTTTATGTACTTTAAAATCTATATTAACACTTAACTCAGATAATTATTGGTTTATTTTATTATGTTTCTTAATGGACGTGTTTGTTTTATGTTTGTTGCTTATGTATAACTTAAGGTTGTTGTTCAGACGAGTCAGTCGGGTACGTCTCCAATTGGGTAGTGGGTGTGAGAATAGATTTAAGAATGTATCCGCGTAGGCGAGTGTGAATTTAAAATTTTTTACCCATCATAGATGGTGGGCGGGTGGTGAATTTAAAAATACTAGGTGAATATGGGGATGGGGAGGGGTATTCGCACCCGATCCACCCGTTTACCATCCCTATCTAGTATTCTAAGCAGAATATGGACATGAAAAAATTAAATCACGTGAAATTCTATCACTCTCCTGTTATGAAACTTTAATGTGACGCCATTTCCTATGGGATAAAATTACTCAGTTTCTATGTACATGAAGTCCAATGTAATAAATGTCAGTTTGGACCTCTTTTCTTTTCTTTCCTTTATTTTCTATTCCTTTTTGTTCGGACTGAAATGCACGACAGCCATGGATTAGGGAAATTTCTCAAACTCTTGAATCATGGGGCTGAAAGAATAGGGTAAATAGCTGCTAAGTTCACGAGAAAAGGATTTGAGGTGTAAATCAACATATTGTTAGGATGAAATCTTCGTAAATTGTTTGTATAATATTTGTTTATGTCTATTTATTAAGTTAAATAAATAAATATGAATAAATTTTTTATATTCATTTAATAAATGAACATACACGAATATAAGTGTGTTCGTTTTTTTATGTTTACGAGCAAACTCGTTTATAGACTTGTTTATAAAGTCATTTATCGACTCATTCGCTCGATTCTCCTTTTCCTTTATCTTTTATATTTTAAATAAGGATTAAATTGAACATAAGGTAACCTTTGAAGTTCAAACTGTGAAGCTTAAGAAACTTGAAGACTATTGACATAGTTTCAATATTTTTCTTTGGCTTGCAAAGAAAATGGTAAAATGTGAGTGTTGGTTCTGGAATGTTAAACAATATATTCGGAACATGAAATGAAAATATTCGCAAATGTTAAACGAACGCAATACTTTCAAAAATAACTAAACGAATACAAGCACGGTACTAAAAGTTTAAAGGAACAAGAATATAGACATCTTAAAAAATAAACAAGTGAACAAAAATATATCTTTATTCGTTTAAGCTCGATTCATTTACGCCATAGAAATGGATACTTTCTGTTCATTGCAGAATTTATAATTGATACATTTGAAACCAACTATTAATTTTGCTGCTCTTGCTCTCAAATCACTTATTAACATCGATTCAAATACGTGCAATTCCTACTTTTCCATTGTACCTTATTCATGGACTATCTTCATCTTCATCTTCATGACTCTTAATAACTAGTCTTAAACGGCTTGTATGTCTGGAGATCAAGAACAACTCCAGCTACAGAGCCAACTGCAGCAGCCACCGTGACAAAGAAACAAGCCACACTAATCATTTGAAGGGCAAGCCACCTACTTGTTTCCCGTCCAATCTTCTTATGAGAGATGTACATCTCAATCGGGAAGTAGACAGTTAACGGCCAAAATCCCATTGCCCCTAGGAATCCAACGACATCGTTGAAAAACGGCATCAGCATGGCTATGAGAGTCGTAATCGCGACGAATATCGTCCTCCATACTAGGCGGAAGAGGTTGATTCGATACGTGCCGGCGAAAGGGATTGGTATTTCGTGTTCCGCCACCACGAAGTCGCTCTTTGGACACTTTTGAGCACACCATTTCTCAACAAATGCAAACAAGGGCTGGCAAAATACCTATACTTCTCATGTTTAATCAGATATGGTTGATTGATGAATCATGAACTTGGTAAATTTTGTTTACTAGGATCAGTGATTCTACGGTGTGTACCTGATATGCACCGACGAGGTGGACGACGACCGCTAGATTAGCGATATCGAGCAGCCAGTACGGGTTGTAAAACCCGAATCCAGTTAAAAGATTTCCGGGAGAGAGATCACCAAAGGCTGCATATCCGAAGCTACCACAGAGTAAATAAAACACAGTTGTTACAATGATGCTGAATGAAGTAGCCCTCTTCATTGTCTTGTACTCTGCTGGAGGTGATTTCACTGTATCCTACAGTAAGAACATGCCATGTTAAGTTGTACACGACATTTCTACGTTACGAAGTACGAAACGATCATCGGATACCTGAATTTCGATAAGGATTACAGAATACGAATATGCAAAGGCAATAGCTCCCAGGGCTTGTAAAGTCCTCCATATCTTCTGCATACCGGTAACAGTTCCAGCATGTGTTAGGGTACCTATGCTGATACCCGACAGGCTTCCCTCGAATCTCCCATGTTCTGCAACTTTGCTTATGCCAAGTCCAAGACCAGCAGTGGAATACGTAAATGACATAATAGCTGCGACTATGGAGAGCCACCATACATGACTAAAGTTCGGTATCTGAGAAAAAATCACTTCTGCAATACCGAATGATATCATATACCCGTTGCTCGACATGTGACACGGATTCGTTCCACCACTCTTGTGGAAACAGTTCGATCTCTTGATCGCCCTAAACAAGCACGGTAAGAGGGATTACATCACATAAACTTGATTTTTCGTGTTTCGAAACTAATGAAATTCCAAAAGCAGAGAAGGGTGCTTGATGAATTTGGTCAATATAACTCACATCATGCTCACTGATGCAGCTATTGTATACCCAATTGCAACACCAAACAAATTCAGGTATTGAATCCATCCACATAACTTGACCTTCCATCCTCCTGCAATAATAAAATATATCGATAATATCTGCACGGCATCGTTTATATTGTCGTGATTTTTGTAGGATATATTTCTAATTCAGTTACCTAAATGTGCCTTAACAGCTTCCATGTAGGTATAGTTTCTTTGTCCGGTTACAGGGTCACCAGATCTATAACACTCTGCTAGGAGGTTGGAAGTGTAGAGGTTGACAAAGGCGAAAAGTACCAGCATAGTTGGTCCTGTAACCCAGCCAAGTTGTGCAAAGGCCCATGCCAAAGACAGAACTCCTGATCCGATGACCGCAGTTATAATGTGCGACGTTGCGGTCCAAAAAGTGCCTGCGTCCACATTTTAATAGTTCTGTCATTCTGTCAAGGATTATAAGCATATTGAGTTGCATTATCAACTATGTTTTAGTGGTTACCTGTTCTCTTCAAGTGTCCATCATCATCGAAACACTTGGAATAGTTGGCTTGACGATTTGTTGTTTCAATCTCGTTCTCGGCTTTAGGCTGAACTTCTACTTGTAAGTAGTGCCTGATATCGTGTCGTTCTTCGATCTAAAGCACAAAAGAGCATCAATATTACATACAAGTAATGAACAACAACAACAGAAAAGTGTTGGAGATAAGCAGCATATATATTACAGCGCTATGGTGGATTCTGCTCGGCATAGTTCGACTCCTAGGCAACATGGCTGCGAGATTGTGGATGAATGAGTAGCTAGTGAAAGATAAGAAGAAGATGGTGGATGAATGAGATAGTTCAATAAAGGGCCTTTTATAATAGGAGAGAATATACAGATGAAAGTTGAGCTATTATGGACCCAGTCACTTCGATGAGCACTTGTGTACATGTAACACGTTTGCCCCTCTGTTCATGTAAAAAAAATCTGGGTGCTTGTCCATTGTGGATAGAACATTTTGTCATTGTCAAACTTTTGTTGCTTTTACATTCCAAGAATGGCAGTCAATTAGTGATGATTTAGGCCTACGCTTAAGGCATTTTAATGGATTCGACAAACACGTTCGCAATCGTAATTTAAATTCCGTACTCGAATGTAGTACTCAAAAGAATATCCTACTGAAATCTATCCATTGGTTTCCCCTACAAGTGGATGGTGGGTAAGGTCCATGCTCATCAAGGACTAATCATATCAAGACCTTGAATGAAGCTTCTCTTTCCCAACAATGCTTGCTGACACTCCCACCACATTAAACAGCTCCCAAAACTATGTAATGCCTATTGCACCCTGTTTAACATTTGGCTTTGATGCTCAAAAATATCAAGTGAAATTTATGCCAAGTTGGATGATATTTAACTTGATATCACAAAATAAGTGGCTGATGAGACGAGAGGATACAACTTTCAATTCGGTTTTCCCTGTGATATTTCATTCATATTGGTGGGAGTAGTAAGCAGTTCTCTTATTTGATCATTGTCGTTAAGATTTTGATTCATTTGAGTGCTATTGAGCATTATGTCCCATGGTCCATTAAGATTAAGATTGTTGGTATTTGATTTTTTTTTTATTTTAATTTGATATAATTTAATCTGTATGTTTTTGTAATGTTATAGTAAGTTCAAACTGACAAAATTATTAATATTAACAATATTATTAATATAAATTTTTTTTCCAATATATGATCATACATCCATCCTTGGATGTTCACTTCCGATTAGACCTACAGGCTACAAGTATTCTCTCTCCCCCATGCCAAAACAATCTTTGGACTTACGGTTTGCAGTTATAGGCTTGGGCTGGAGGCCTTATTTGTGTTCTCTTTTTCTTTTGGGGTCTATGTGTACTTTATCTTCTTTTTTTCCTAATGATTTTTTTATTATATACATTATTAATACATCAAAATACAAATCAGAAAATGATTGAGTGTTGTGTTTTAGGGCCCAATGGTGGAAAAGGAGCAACCTAAGTGGACCAAACCATCTGGTTTTTTTTAATTAATCATTGTTATCCGATAAATCGATCTATTAATCTAGATTGGGTTTTATAGATGTTTGTTACAGAGATAAACGTTCTAATTCAATTTGTTTCATACACAAATGTTAGAGTTCGATTCTCTAACTTTGTTTAAAAAATCTAATGCATCTTCCTATTAAATCAACTAGTTATTGGTACCGAAACATATGCTTTAGTGATCTTGTTTACCTTAAAATGTGTATATAATTCTCAATTTTCAAAATTTATAATATCATGTCAGACTGGATCAGGTTTTTTTTATCCTAAATCTAAACCTAATTCGATTCAATTACACCTTAAAAAGGGTAAATTGCACGTTTAGTACTTAATTATCAGTTTTGGTCTATTTTAGAACTTAAACTTTCAAATTTTTAAAATCATGGCTAAAATTTAGTTTTTGTTTCATTTTAGTACCCGCGTTAAAAACTTTAGTTTTTGTTTCATTTTAATACCACATTCAAAATTTAACGTTAAATTTTGAAAAAATTGAAAGTTTAGGTACTATAATGGACCAAAATTGATAATTTATGTACTAAACATGTTAAGTTATTAATGGTGGGATACTAAAATGAAATGAAAACTATACGTTAGGTATTGTTTTAAAAATATTGAAAGTTTAGATACTAAAACAAATCAAAACCGATAGTTTAAATACTAAATGCTTAATTTACCCTAAAAACATAATCACTAAGCCTAAACTCAAATTTTCAAAATAGAAAAACTGACCCGATCACTTGCGTGGAAGATTATCCTAGGTTAGGTATTCAAAGATTATTGCTTTTATTAGTGTTAATTAAAAACATCAAATTCACTTAACCAAACCTTAGATAAACCATTAAAGTTAATAAATGTCTAATTATGACTTTGGTCCCTTTGTTATATTCAAATTTTGGGTTTACTCATTGTGTTTCAATTTAACATAATTTAATGATATTTTTGAAATATCATTAGTAAATCTAGATTGTTAACATTGTATCCAGCTCATCACGCTTATGTAGATTTTTTTTTTTGTGTTCGAAAGGGCGTTTTAAGAAAAATTTACATCAACGTTTTAACTAGAATAGTTAAGATGTTAATAGTAATATCAATTGATGACATTATTGTCGTGGAAGAATTACTATCTTAGAAACAAATTTGTTTTTGTTGGTGTAATTGTTAAAATGAACATCACCTCTCGATATAATTATTAAAATATTATACACTTTAATTTTGAAGTGGATAATAGTTGATATTGCTTTTCTCAGAAAATGAGAATTTTACTTTGAGTATTTTTCTTCCGATTATAATCTGGAAAAACACTAAAAAAAGAAAAGAAAGAAAATCATGCAAGAGATGAAATGAGAGATGAATGTTTGATAATGCCCAAATAAGTGCCTACATTTTTTTGTCTATCCGAGTATCTAACGTTACAAACGTTATCACCTTAAGTGCCCAAACTGTCAACGATGTTAGTTTTTCCCGTTAAGTGACACGTGTCACAATCTGATAATTTTAATTTTTTTATATAAAATTAAAAAATAAAATTATATATTTTTAAAAAAGAAAACAAATAAATTTTGAAATAACCCCTAAACTTTGAAAACCTTCATTTCAACCCCTAGACCCACGCCGCCCGCCGCACTTTACCATCGAAGAAGCTCCACCCGACCTCCCCTCCCACCGACGACCAAAACCTCTATGAAATCGTGACCGGTTGACGACTGATCAATGACAAATCGACGTTTTAGATCCCGCGAACCCTAGGATGAACATCGCGATCCCATGCAATTCTGATGGTGAATCGGCAACAACTACGACGACATATAACTATGATGATAGCAAGGACTACGTCGGCAACGGTGGTCGTGGTCGGAGAGGGCAGCGACAGCGGATTAAGGTTAGGATTTGGGATTTTGGGGATGTTTTATAATTTAAGAAAAGGTTTTTTTTATAAACATAATAATATTTTTAATATTTAAAAAAAATAAGTTTCAAAATTACCAAGTTGTGACATGTCACTTAACGAGAAAAACTAACGACGTTGACAGCTCGAACACCTAAAGTGCTAAAGTTTGTAAAGTTAGACATCCAGATGAGTCAAAAAAATGTAGGCACTTATTTGACACAAAATGTATAGTTTTGGCACTTATTTGATACAAAATGTATAGTTTGGGCACTTATTTGGACATTAAACCTTATTTTCATAGCTAAAAAAGGATTGAGAAATATAAAAATATATCATTATTTTAAATTTTGTCTAAATTATATTCGAATTTAGAAAATATCAAGACAAAACATAAGTGAACACAATTCAAACTAAGCAAGAAACACTGGCAACACATGTGTTAGACCTTAGTCTCGCTATTCAATTGATGATTGAATAGAGACTGTAAAAAAAAATTAGAAGTCTTTTTTTCGTTTAATGTGATCTTTATATTACCAACAACAAAAATGTGTTCAATTAAAGTATAAAGACTAAGTGGTGTTTTTGCGCAGACATTGGTCTTCGCAGATCGTTTTTTTTAGAAGATAGAAGCTCTTCTAACGTTCGCGCGGCGCAGACGTGGTTTTATGTCTCCAGACGTTTTCTAACCTCTTCAAAGAGGTTTTATATTTAATTTTATATTATATTTGATTTCAATTTTAATATTAATTTTTTAAATAAATTAAATATTAATTTTTAATATTATATTATAGATATTAATTTTAATATTAATTTTTAAATGAATTAAATATTAATTTTTAATATTATATTATAGATATTTAATTTTATATCATATAAATTATTTTATATTTATTTTAATTATTTTGATTTAAGTTTAAATATAATATTTTTTTTGATTCGTTATTTTAAAATTATATTTAAACTTTTTATACAAAATGTAAGTATTTAAACCACATTGCTTAATAAAAATGATTTCATTGTTTGATAATTAAGATTTTAAAATATAAAAATTTATAAATTATGTTTTTAAAATTTTAAAATATAATCACAATTAAATAAAAAATAATCATAAAATAATTTGATAAATTAAAAAATATTTTCTAAAAATATCATATAATTATAAAAATAAATTATGAATATATATTTTAAAAAAATTAAAAGTATTACATAATTGCATATTTAAAAAAATCATATAATTTAATGATCATTTATAAATTTTATTCTATAAAACTTATAAAACTAATAATACATGTGATTATGTGAGACTTATAATAGAATTAATAAGGTGGTGTTTGTTTTTTCTAAAAAAATTATTATTGTAGTTGTATGAATTATTTAAATTTCAGTATTGCAAAACTAAAATTATTTAAATCTCAGTATTGCAAAACTAAAATTATTTAAATCTCAGTATTGCAAAACTCTTTTAAGTTTAAAAAATTAATTTATTTTAGCAGTATGCAGACGTTAAAAAACAAACAGTCTTCTTCTTTTAGACTGCAAACTTTTGGTCCACATCTTCTGTTGCAGATGCCTGCAGATGTGGTCCGCAGACTGCAGACATTTTACCTCTGCAAAAACAAACACCACCTAAATGTCTTGTTTAAACATAGTAGAGAGACAGAAACTGTGTTTTTAACTTTGTAAAACAAATCTTAATCATTTTGTAAGTACACCTAGGATGTATAAAAAGACCATATAACAATTAAAAACACGAAAAATAATATGATAATTCAATTAATTTATGCAAGATGCCTGAATTTTTAGATTAAAAAAGAAAAGGGATATATAAAGTTGGAGTTTGGTTGATAATGTTAGAAGATGTTGGGCAGGTAGGGAGATTTATGTGGACACCA